TTTAACTTCAGCCTATACCTTTTCGTTCATAAATTATATCTAAAGAAACTGTTTAATTTACAAGAGGAATTTGTACCTGTGATAATTATTATTATGTTCTTTATTAGATAATTATTTTCCTTTTCATGTGTTTTATATGTATTTGTTATGATGGAAAAATAAATACAATACAGTACAAATACAACAGGAAACAATGGAAAAAGATTACCATTATTACAGATATTTATCCATAACCATCACTGTGGTTTTATTACATAGCCTATGAAATGCATGAGGTGGGATTGGTCTGCAGTAGGGATGTGTATTTTTGACTGAATTTATTGTAGGAATATTCAATAAACAGTCCAAACTGATACTTAAAATTTTTAACATGAGTTATCTGAACCATAATAGCGGGATTTAAATTTCAATGGTGGAAACAAAACCCAATGCACACTGCTGCCAACTAGCGGTCAACATTTAAAGTGCACCAAACACAAAGAAAATACACAAATGTTTGCATGTAAATTCTTCCAAAAATTAGATACTGCTTTTGAACATGGATGTAATATCTCAGGAAAAAATATCACGATATATTGCCATATCGATATTTTAGAGACACAGTTTGAGAATATCGATACAATATCACTGGAAAAATATATCGCAACATATTGCCATATTGATATTTTCTTACATCCCTTGTCTGCAGTGTACTTTGTGTACACTATGGTGTGTCTTAGCTCACCAGCTGCAGTTGATGCATGTGGCCATGTAGCACTTCCACTGTAATGCAATGCAGTAGTTTTCAATCTAAAAAAAAAAAGAAATAGCTTTTAGACAAAAATATAGATTTTATGTAATAATTAAAAGCATGTATTTAACTCATTATTGATTATCTGTCCTGGACAACATTCTTTTGATGGAGAATACAGAACATGTGACAGAAAGCACACTGAATCTGATTTGTCTTGTTCTGACAAACAAATGTCAGATCTGTATACTGGTAAGAAATTTGTTATCAAACACACTCACTTAGATAATTATTCAGTCAGAGCTACATCATATAATCCATTCGTTTCACTGAAAAAGGAGCAGGCAGAACTATGAACTTGTTTAGCCTGACCAAGTAACATGGAATAAAAATGAATATGTTAAGATGCATTTTTTAATACGTCTCTCTGGAACAATAGACCATTGTCCTGAGGCTAGCACAATGGCTTGCTTAGCAGCTAGCTAGTGAGCCAACGTCTGGTTAAAACCAACTTAAAAAGTGGCTTAACTAAGAAAAGATAAAATATATTATCAATACTCACTTTAGATCCTTAGTAGACACCACAGACAGCAGAAATAAGGTGTTTGGGGCTCAAAATTCATGATGTTGACCGAGGTGGGGAAAAAAATGTCTTGGAGGCTACATCACTTCCGGGTCACTGAACTGTCACTCAAGAGAAACCACTGTCCTATGGGAGAGGACTTCTCAGAAGTCCCGCCCACCCGAAAGGGTTGTGTCAGAATTGCAACCAAAAACTCAGGGATTGCAAAGGAGAAAGCCAGAAAGTGTAAGTGCAAATCTGGTAGTGAGAGCAAAGCTGTGAGCAGCGAGAATGAAACTAAAGAAATTGATAACAAAAACACATAGAGGCAAACAGAAAATGAATCATACTTTGTTATTCGCTTTAAGAAGTTGATTCAGATAGTAAGTTTTACTTTTGAAACATGTTTTTTCCTTTAGTCAATATTTTTGTTCTGTCAATTTCTTAATTTTTGTTTCACCAATTTTTGTTTCTTGATCATTTTAAGAAGTTGATTCAGATAGCAAGTTTTACTTTTGAAAAAAAAAAGTTTCCTTTAGTCAATATTTTGTTCTCTCAATGTCTTAATATTTGTTTGATCTTCAAAGTGTTTTTCTTGATCCTATTGGCACAAATCTAATCCGATACCCAAAATGCTAATTTGTATTGTTCCTTTGCTTTGTAGTGCTCTAGCCTGCTGAGAGCTTAAAAGTGAAAGATTGTTACTGACAGCAGCTACATCTAAGTGTTTATTCATTTTCCTTTAGACTGAATGGTTGCTGATTTTATCTTGGAGATGTTTCTCCTCACATAAGCTTCAGATCTAAAGCTTGGGTTGTGAGTAGGAGGCTTAGAAGTTCTGGTCAGAAACAAACACGCTGATTGTGATGGAAGTTTTTATTGTTCCTAACAGTGGCGGCTGGTGAAAAATGTTTTTGGTGGGGCTGTGCTATTTTTTTGTTTAAACAAACTTGTGCTTTCTGAGCTTTGTGCACAACTTCACTATTTCCTGAATTAAGCACAGCTCTTTTATTTCCTGTCTTATAGGGCTGCTCGATTATGGCAAAAATAATAATCACGATTATGGTGACTGAAATTGAGATCACGATTATTTAGGACGATTTTTCAATTTATGTTGATTTTATTTGTTTTTATTCAGTCATAAAACTGCTCAGGGCACAATCAGGACAAAAATAAGAAACAAGATGATCACTAAAAGAACTCCTGATTCCCAGTATAGAAAGACAAATATACTTATAGCTCATAGTCTATGACCCAAGGGCTATAGACCTTGAGTCTAACCAGTACAGAACCAAATACCAATATCTTGCAAATACTGACAGCAAGAATTATACAGTGGCATTTATAACAAATAAATGCAAATAAATTGATGTTCACAAAATGTTGCATAACATTTATTGAGTCGTGTCAAGGTGCTGTAGGACTGTGTCCTCAGAGAGATTAGTTATCAGCGTGAGGAACTTATTTCTACCTTATTTATAAACTATTTATTTACAGGCCCATCTGTTAATGTAATAATTGTCCCAACCACAGCTGCACCCCCCACCCCCCAACCCGGTCTCACAGCAATCGGGGCAAGCTGCACGTGTGTTTAGCACGCTGCACGCGCACATTTAGCTGTTTTTAGCTGCTCAGGAGTCCGAAGGTGCGGTGTGTGTGTCACTCACTCTGGTTAATCCAACAGGGAGCCGGCTCCGAGAGCTGTCTTTAGCGACCGACACATCACTGCATCATTCCCTTTCCTAATGTTGTGAAGAACGGTCCGGAGCACAGGCGGAGTGTTTAGCTAACCTGCAGGAAATGTCGACGACAGTTATCCAGAAAGTAGCTAAGGGTCACCAGAGATGTTTCTCAGGTGTTCGCTAGGTACTTTTAGGATTAAAAAGTCAAGAAGGGGGTCTGAAAAGCTGCTAGAAATAGCGTCAAAGTCGCTAAATTAGCAACACTGTGGAGGAGCGCTTCATTTGCAACTCAGGGCAGCGCAAGCGGGAGGAGCAAATAATCGGCTTGTTATGTTTTTTATAATCGTTCAAAACTCAGATCGTAATCGTGATTAAAATTCGATTAATTGAGCAGCCCTACTGTCTTACATCATTGGACAAACTGATTAATCCAGGTGTGTCTGACTATTGGCACGCTGCCTTGCAGACCAAGGTTGAAAAATACTGCATTAAATTGCACATAAAATAACACGACCATAAATGGTAAATAGGCAATGCAAGAGGCAAGTAACAAAAACATTTTGTTTAATTTCAACATTTGAGTGAACACGAAAAATTATGAGCAGGTCACTGTTACAGTAATGGTAGTAAACACTACTTAGACAAAATGCCAGAAATTTACACTGTTAGGACTTATGGAAAGTGGAAACACTTTCATAGGAAATAATGTCTTCAGTATCCTCTTACAAATGTCATATTTCCCACTTTTTGGGACAAATCAGAAATGTTTTATTGTCCCAAAAGCTGGGAAATTTGTTTGCTGCAGCATAAGTGTAACAAGTAAAATGGAATCAGATTGATGTATGTACAAATTTACTTGAAATACACATTTACATGATTAAATATGTATAATAGGTATGTGTGTTGAAATTAGTTTTAACAGTTATTGCACATTAAACATGTTATTAAACAATGTCCCGGTTTGTGGGACAACCAAGGATTTCTGATTCTGATTGTCTTGTTTACAGAAATGTAATGTACAGCTTACCTCTGCACCCAGCTGCTGTTCTCCCTGTCCAAACGTCCTCCGTTTCTTTGTTGGCTGCTGCACTGATGCGCTGCATTCCTCAGTCAGAGAATGAATGGAGTCCCCAATGAGACACAAGTTCCACATCCACCTTCTGTGGATCCCAGCCGTTTTGAATAACAAACACGGAAAGCAAAATAAAGCATTAGCGTGATTGCATCCAGCTAGCCACTGCTTCCTGGTGTACCAATTTCGGGAGAAGCCTAGTGTGTACAGTTTACCTCTCTCCTTGTCCTGCTGGCTTATCTTTACGTCGGGCTGATCTGGTCCAAGCTCTTTGACATTAAGTTTTTCAACCATAGTTCTCCTCTCGAACGGATACTGGAGAAGAGACCGAACTGAATTCAGTGGCTGCTGAGATCTGGTATCCATGTCTACGTCTGCTCCATGTGCGTCACGAGTCACGACCAAAAACGTGCTGGAGTCGAGACTCTCCGAGTTCTACCGAACACCAACGAAAGCCTTGGCGGTAGCTCTATCGCCCATCATGCTTCTGAAACGTTCTGAAACAACGTCGACGCTGATTGGATACATTCCCATTCCTACCCTTTGATTTTCTTGTCAGCAATTGGACAGCTGGTCTCGTCCTGTTTGGGCGATTGAAAAACAGCACACAGCCTCCACCGCTCGGCAGAGACCGGCAGAGATCGGCAGAGACCAATATAGATAGATTTATTTTTGTTACAAAACACACAATTAACTTAGAATATGTGATTATTGTTAATTTTATTTATTTATTTTTTTTAAATAAAAATTAAAAACAGTGGGGAAACTGGGAGGGCGGCGCCCTATCGCCCTCTATTGGCCAGCCGCCACTGGTTCCTAAAGTAGAAATCTGTTTTTATCTAAATGAAGTTCATGTTCTTGTTCCTTTTTCCCACATCATGTAGCCAGTATCACTCATGGTGTAAATATAAAGGTATGGTGGTCTGTAACATCATGTGTCTGTGTTTCCTACAGATGTTCCACAGCTGGAGCTGGTTAAAGAAGAAGCTCCTGAAGAACAGAGTGCTGGTGTGGACCAGCAGGACCCAGAACACCTCCACATAAAGGAGGAACAGGAGGAGCTCTGGACCAGTCTGGAGGGAGAGCATCTCTGTTTGAAGGAGGAGACTGAAGCTGTCGGGTTTCCTGTTACTGCTGTTTCTATAAAGAGTGAGGATGATGAAGAGAAACCTCTGGTCTCACAGCTTCATCAGCAGCAAACAGAAGACAGAGATGTTCCAACCAGCAGCTCAGCTGACCAGATGGCAGCAGAAACTGGTGGAGGAGCAGGAACTAGCAGGAACCCAGATCTGACTCCTCATGAACAAACATCTGATTCTTCAGAGACTGAAGTTAGTGGAGATGATGATGATGATGATGATGATGATGGTGTGAATCTGGACTCTGGGTCTGAAACTGGAGATGAAGATGATGACTGGAATGAGAGCAGGTCTTCTGAGTCAGATGGTAAGTCTGTCAACAAGTTCTTCACAAGTGGTCTCTCCAGAGACACGTGAGGGAGACAAGTCATCCAGCAATAAGGTCTTCAGGCTGTTTGGTTTATAAGAAATGTGTTAGAGTGAAGCAACATGTAGACTCGTGCAGGAAAGTCCAGAAGAAACCTAAATCATTTAGTCATGATGAGTGTGGAGAAAGGTTTACTACAAATGTAAATAAACAAATCACATGAGAGTCCACACATAGCAGCTGCTGTTCCAGAGTATGGGCCAGCCTCATCCCACCCATACTCTGCTTCTGGCCGCTAACAAGATGGCGCCTGTGTTTGGAATAGCCACAGGTCCGTTTCCACATTCCCGCCTGGCCACGGGGCAGCGCTGTGTCTCCGTCCATGTTTCCTCGGGTCTGTTTATCCTGGTTCTTCAGTGGTTTCCCTTCCTGTTCCCTCCATGAGTGGACTTTACACACCGTGGATCTGACCTGCTAACTCCAGCTGTTTCTGCTTCTGGCAGGATCCTGGTGTAGGTACCCAGGAGTCCAGATGCTGCAGGATGAATTGTAGAGCCATGCTGATGGTGTAACGTGATGGAAGTGGTTACTTTTACTGAATGATCAATAAGATGTGATATTCCATCTAATTATAAATGATCAATCTTATTGGTCTTTGAATATTTGATTTAATACGACCTTAGGAACACACACTTCATATTAATTCAGACAGAGTCAAGAATATAGTTTATAAAAATTAGTTTAATTCTATATTTCTAAACTAATGATTACATGACTGTTAGGGATTTTATCAATAACCCAATACCTGCAGCTGGAGAGAGAGGAGAGACAACAAGCAGACAAGTCACCAAACTGCAATCATGGGGAGAAGCTCAAGGCAACTGCCCCGAGTTTCTGCTCTGAGTTTATTTATAACAAAGATAAGTGTGTGTGTGTGTGTGTGTGTGTGTGTGTGTGTGTGTGTGTGTGTGTGTGTGTGTGTGTGTGTGTGTGTGTGTGTGTGTGTGTGTGTGTGTGTGTGTGTGTGTGTGTGTGTGTGTGTGTGTGTGTGTGTGTGTGTGTGTGTGTGTGTGTGTGTGTGTGTGTGTGTGTGTGTGTGTGTGTGTGTGTGTGTGTGTGTGTGTGTGTGTGTGTGTGTGTGTGTGTGTGTGTGTGTGTGTGTGTGTGTGTGTGTGTGTGCGTGTGTGCGCTTTCAGGCATAGAATAATACATTCAGTTAATAATAAACATAACATTTCCATAACATAATCCCTCCTGTTTATCCGAATAGGATAACCAAACAAGAAAATAACAAAATAAAGAACAAATAAAGTTAATGATTAAAGTTAAGAATAAAACTAGAAAAAATTGCATTATTGCACAAATGCTGTTTGAATGCTGGATAGCTGAAACTGTAAGCTGAAGTTACTGAACAGCTGAGCTGAAGCTGAAAATAAGCAAAGCTGTCAAAATGAGCTGAATGTCTTGAAAGATGTAGAAGCAAAAAGCACCAACAAGCAAATAAAGCACAAAAGTGAAGAATGGAGTAAAATCATCCTAAATGGCAAAAAACTGAAATATGTGAACATTGTATAAAAACTGGACAGCTAAAATGTCTAAACACCTGTTATTTCAGTTAGACATAACTGTTTAATCTTTACATTTAGCTGAATTGTGAAAATAGCATCATATGCTGAATTCAGAAACTAATTGCTGAAGCTGCTGAATAGCTCAAGGGAAGCTGAAACTAAGCAAAACTGTTAGAATGAGCTGAATGTTTTGAAAGGTTTAGAAGCAAAAAGCACCAAAATGTAAATAAAGCACAAAAAGTGAAGAACGGAGAAAACGATCCTGAACGGCAGAAAACTGAAATCTGAACATTTAAAATTTGGACCGCAAAAATGTCTAAACACTTGTTGTTTGAGTAGGACTAAGTTAACAGTTTAATTTTTATATTTAGTTGAACTGTGAAATGAGTAGCTTAAGCCAAATTCAGAAATGGATTGCTGAAGCTGCTGAATAGCTGAAGTGAAGCTGAAACTAAGCTAAACTGTCAAAATGAGCTGAATGTATTTAAAGATTTAGAAGCAAAAATCACCAACAAGTGTAATAAAGCTCAGAATATAGGTGAAGAATGGATAAAAAATGCTAAACAGCAGAAAACTTTAATCTTTGAACATTTATTAAAAACTCGAAATTTGAAATGTTAAACAGTTGGCATTTGAATGAGAATAGTTTAACGGGTACATTTTTACAATTGGCTGAACTGTGAATTTAGAAATATTTGCTGATATCTGAAACTGATAGATTAACATATGTTCAGATTTGATATGGGATGGATGAATGGTTGGATGAATGAAATAACAGATGGATTGTTGGATGGATGTTAGATGGTTTATTGGATGGATGGATGGATGGATGGATTCCTTAGGCATAGCCGATCGATTTGATGTCTCACATGTGTGGGTGTGTAATTCCATTTAACCAGAAGATGATTGACCTCTCAACCAATCGGGGGCTGGGTGGGAGTGGGGCACTTTCCCACCTTCTGATGGTCAAATTTAACTTGTTTCTAGTTTTAAGTACAGATAGTTCAAAAAGATCAAAAACAGGAGTCTGTTATTGGCTCAATATTCAGCTTTTTATATTCATTCCTGTGAGAATTGGTTAAAGTAATTTGTAGTTCTTTGTGTTGCCATGGTAACAGATGACAGGAGTCTGCATTAATAAAGCAATGTATAATGTCACATGACTCTTTAACTTTGAATAACATTTCTATATTAAAGTATGTTGATACAGTTTTGTCTAAAATGTTAAATGTTGTTGCCAAGCATGTTGCCATGGTAATGCAGAACACAATATCAAGTTAATACAAGACTCCTGGGACCAAGCAGGTTGAATTGATGTATCATATGTGTGGGTGCACATTTCCTTTTAGGCGGAAGACAATTGAAAACTCTCAGCCAATGAGAGAGCAACGAAGGAGGAGGGGGCGTTCCCTGCCTTCTGACTAGTGTTAAAATGTCAGCTTTGCTGCTAGTTTTAAGTGTATAGAGCTCAGAAAGATAACCGCAGTAGGTTATAGGTTCAATATTAGGCATTTCACATTCATTTCAAAAAGACTTGTTTGGGGATATACTTATGCACTTGTGTTACCATGGTAACAGATAACACATTTAAAATTGAATGCAAGATTCCTGAGACCAAGCTGGTCGATTTGATGAGTCATATGTGTGGGTGCTCGATCCTGCTTGGACAGAAAATGGTTGAACACTCAACCAATCAGAGAGCAGCACTGTTTTCCCGCCTTTTCCCCGGCTGTTGGAGGCCTTCAGCTGTACTCCTGTTAATGAGAGAAACCTTTTAAATCTTTTGTGTAAATAGACGATAGTTAGTCATTAGTAGACCTGGGCGGTCTCGGAGAGTGATACCCAAAGAGGGCCCAGGTTCGTACAGACGCGTTAGAGGTGGCTGGTGATGGGTACCAACTGTGGTTGATAGCAGCTTGAAACACGCGACTAACAAAACTTATTTTACCAGACCTGGAAATGGAAACCAGGGACGTTGTAGAGTGGCGCGGCCTTGCAAGGGTTCGGCGCAGGTGGAGGCTCCGGAGGCCCCTCGTTCGACGCGCGGGTGCAGTCAGAGAGATCGAGGTCAACCAGTGGTGGTACAGGGCACCGGACCCCCTCGCCTTTGGTAGGTGAGTCACCAACCGCTGGGCTAAAGGTCACCAGCGCTTGCTGTAGCGCAGTAACGTCAGCGACGTCATCAGCCTGTCCTTCGGCAGGGGGAGTCCCCACCGCAAGGTTCTGAGCTGCAGCCAGAGTATCAGCGCCACCCTCAGTACCCCCTTTAGCAGGTGGTGTTCCCACCGCAGGGTGCGGAGTCTCAGGTGGTGTGTCACTGCAACCGCCAACTCCCACTAGGGTCGGTGTTTTCCCCACCTCCGTGTGGAGTGGTATTGCAGAGACTACGCAGACTCTCTGGATGTCACTGACCTTACTGGTACTGGATTGACTGACCAGGTTGATAGTTCCGTTGACTTTGTCACCGCCTGAACATGCAATGAGGCGCCCAAGGGACGCCAAGGGCGTCGGTTGGGTCGCCTGAGTTTGGAGTGTCCAATCTTTAAATGAAATGCCGGCTTCAAGGCGTCGTAACAGATCTCCTCCCACTACGAAAGGAAGCGCTTCGACCTTAGTCACAAACACTGGATGGCTCACGGACATGTCTCCCACTGTGAAGTTGATGGATACCACATCCGACAAGGATCCTCGGTCTGCAGAGAACGGTTGGATCTGCCTAACGCAGGTTGTGAATCCTATGATGCGACCCTGTGCAGCTGCAGCCATGCGGACCTGCTCCCAGAGAGAGCTGGACATGATGGTTTAATCTGAACCCGTGTCCATGAGAACCACACAGTCCAGCGTCCCCTCCAGGGTCACCGGAATGTGAGTTTTTTTCGTAGGACCACGTCGGGTGATACCGCAGAGAACTCTTCGTGGAAGTCTGATCGGTGAGCTCGGTTTGCTAGGTCTGGTTTCAGGTTCTGTGGGTACTAGAGTACTAGCGCCGATAGAAGCAACCACGGCAGGTCTCACTGAGACCTCAGGTGTCGATGAATGCACCGTTGTGGCAGGTGTCACCTTTGCAGGACCTGCCTCTACAGCCGAGCCACAGGCAGGTTGAGGAGGTTCTACCACAGTAATGCATAGAACCGACTCGCGTACCTTCAAATCTTTCAACAGGTCAAAAAGTATTTCTCCCACTGCACGAATTTTGTCTGGAGATCGACTCCTAGAATCAGTTCTCGGCCTTGGGACAGGACTGTAGTCCTTGCGAGGGTTACGTGGTCGTTTTTGGCCCAAAGGAGTGTGTCCCTCGCTTGGGCGAGGGGACTCTCTCCTGTAGGAGCCTGACAAACCCCCTATTTCTCTGAAAGAAACACGATGTTTATCGCGGCCTGGTCGTGGTGTCTTAGGGTCCCCTCCATGAGCTGGTGGAGGGGTCCGGGGTCTGCTTGGGTTTTGAGGCTTGTTGTTTGGAAAGCCTTTTGGCTTGGGGTTATCAGGTTTTTGGACCTGTGGTTTAGGTCCAACTTTTTGGTTTTTATATTTATGAGTTCCAGATGCAGCACCCTCGAGTCGCAGCGAGGTCTTTTCCTCCACCACCAGAACTGATGGACTGCTCGAATTCTTACTGGATTTACCAAATCGTGTAAAGGCACAGCTCGCCATTCTTCTGAGCTCATCCATGGGTGTGGTTTTAGGGTCCACTGTACCCATGTATAGGCTATACTGGGCATGTAGGTTCTCAAGGAATAGTCCCTTAAAACATTTTTCCTCTTCCATCCAATCCTTGCATTCCGTACCAAAGTACACGTTGAAGAGACGTTGATAGAAGACTTGTGGGTCTTCAGTACGGCCCTGCCAGAATAAAGGGCTGGTGGTGGGAGCGGATGAGCCGGCTGAGGAGCGGGGTAACCCGGCAGAGGGGCTGAAGGTGGGAACGGATGAGCCTGCTGAGGAGCCGTACTTGGGTGTTGATCATGGATGTATTGCTAGGCTGCAGCTAGTTCAGAATGCTGCAGCCCGTCTTTAGACTGGCACTGGTCATTTGATCATATCACTCCAGTTGTTGCCTCTCTGCATTGGATCCCAGTTCAGTTCTGTGTTGAATTTAAGATTTTGGTTCTGGTCTCAAAATGTGTAAATGGCCTTGCTCCTAGCTCTTTATCTGGAATTCTAGTGCCATATGTCCCATCTTGTGGATTAAGGTCAGCTGACCTAGTGAGCAGAACTAACTGTCATCACAAGCTGCTGATCTAGCAGCATGATGCTCATTATTATTTTATGGGTTACAGACAAGTGTTGATGCTCTGTGTTTTTATTTCTGCAGCGAGCCTTACAATCTCACCTCTTTCCACCCACAGTTTCTTCTTAAAACACATTTTGCATTTACTGTTTTGACTCATTTTAACGAGCTTCCTCCACGCCGTGATTTCATTGTAGGATACAAACTTTACAGCACTCTCACGGAGTAAAGGTTCAGCAGATCTGTTACATTTTTGCCACTGCGCGTCTACAGTGTTTGGGAAAGGAAGGGAGGGGCCGATGCGATGCTGCTGTCAGGGAATCTCTAGGTTCCACAGTAGCAGCGACGGACGGCTGGTTTGAGCGGCTCTGAGAGGCGTAAATCAGAATTTGCAGATAGCGTTTCTTCCTTCTACCAATCGCATAGTGATGTCTGGACTTAAAAGCAACTCATTAGATTCATAGTTATTTGTTAAAGTAATGCATTAGCATAAATAGTAATGTGTTTACCAACATTGGTTATGTATTTTACTGATTGCAAAAACACCCCTAGGTCTTTTATCTTCTCTTTTTACTGAATTTTTTTTTTTATATTTCTGCTTGGTTCACTGCAGTTTCAACTAAGAGAGAAGAGACGGATGAGAAACCTCTGCTCTTACATTTCCACAACCATCAAATGAAAGACGGAGGTGTCCCAACCAGCAGCTTGGCTGGGCAGATGACAGCAAAAGTTGGTGGAGGAGCAGAAACTATCAAGAACCTAGATCTGGACCCTAATGAAAAGACATCCAATTCCAAAGATGAAGATGATGTGAATCTAGACTCCGAGCGTTCACACTCTGAGCCTGAAATTGGAAACGGAGACCATGGCTGTAATGAGAACAAGTCTTCGGAGTCAGATATTAAGACCGTCAACAAATCATTTAGCTGCCCTGTGTGTGGTATATGGTTCCAACACCAGTGGTCTCTTCAAGAACATGTGAGAGTGACAAGTCATTCAGCAGTAAAGTCTTCAGAGTGTTCGGTTAATACAAAATGTGTGAAAGAGAAGCAAAGTGGAGGCTCATGTAGAAAAGTCCAGAAACAACCAAAATCATTTAGTTGTGAGGACTGTGGGAAAAGATTTAGCCTAAAGTCAAGTTTAACCCGTCATATGAAAGGCCACAATGGGCAAAAGCCTTTTGCCTGTGAGCTCTGTGGGCAAAGATTTAGCCAAAAACATAGTGTAAAAAGACACATGAGAGTCCACACAGGAGAGAAGCCGTTTGCCTGCGAGATCTGTGAATACAGATCTACCAAAAAGTCACATTTAAACACACACATGAAAGTCCACATAGGAGAGAAGCCTTTTGCCTGTGAGCTCTGTGAATACAGATCTACCAAAAAGTCACATTTGAACACACACATGAAAGTCCACACAGGAGAGAAGCCTTTTGCTTGTGACCTCTGTGGGAATAGATTTAGTGAAAAGGGAAGTTTAAACACACACATGAGAGTCCACACAGGAGAGAAGCCTTTTGCCTGTGAGTTCTGTGGATACAGATTTACCCAAAAGGCAAGCTTAAACAATCACATGAGACTCCACACAGGAGAGAAACCTTTTGCCTGTGAGCTTTGTGGATACAGATGTACCCAACAGGCAAGTTTAAACACACATATGAGAGGCCACAGAGGAGAGAAGCCTTTTGTATGTGAGTTCTGTGGATATAGATGTACCCAAAAGGTAGGTTTAAATGAACACATTAGAGTCCACACAGGAGAGAAGCCTTTTGCCTGTGAGCTGTGTGGACAAAGATTTAGCCGAAAGACACATTTAAAGAGACATACGAGCATCCACACAGGGCTCGAGGGATTTATTTAACAACAGTACTTCCAAATGTACTATTTAGTTTTTTTACAACCGTAATTTTAGTCTTGTACCTCTGCTCAACTATCATTGATCAAGTCCGTACTCGGCCCTTGAGCCACCTCTTCCTTTGATTTTCATTTTCAAATCTCCTTTGTTTTTTAAACTCAGACCTTAACCAAACATTTGAGATGTTCATGAATTCTGAATACAAAAAAATATTACTTAAAGATTAAGAAAAAACTGTTATACCCTCCTGTAATTAAGAAACAAACAAGACAACAGGCACAGGATGGTTGTAGTACAAAAGCCACTGCAATTTAAAGCTGTTAGATACCGTTGGTGTCTGCTTTAAACAGTCGTCTCAAGGCACTTCACATAATAAACATTCCAATTCAGGTCAGTTCATTAAGCTCATCAGAAATAATGTTTCCTATATGAGGAACCCAGCAAATTGCATCAAGTCACTGACTAGTGTCTTGTTTTTTTAAAACAAGACTGTAATTACTATTGTCAACTTTTTTTTACTGGGGTTTACTGCTACACCGGTTACCGTGACAACTAGTGTCAGTGACTTAACAGCAATCCTCATACTAAGCAAGCATAAAGCGACAGTGGAGAGGAAAACTCCCTTTTAACAGGAAGAAACCTCCAGAGAATCCTGGCTCAGTATAAGCAGCCGTCCTCCACGACTCACTGGGGATCGAGAAGACGGAGCGCACACACACACACACACACACACACACACACACACACACACACACACACACACACCACACACCACACACACATACACATATACACAGTAATGTGTCTATAGTTATATTGTGATTTCTTAGTAAATATTCTATTTGGTGAGAGATAAACTTTATTGTGTTTATCCTAGTGGATTTATAATTAAACGGGTAGACTAGTAGTAGCACATCCAACGTCAATGAAAGCAAAAAGTTATCAGGAGAGGGAGAATGTTTGTGGTTAGCAGCAGTGTGCTAGACGACAGACGTTGGACCCAGGGTCGGAAATTAACACTCGCCACTCGCCAAATGCGAGCAAATTGCCCCATTTGGTGAGTAAATTTTTGAGCTCTACCTGCCACCTGGCGAGTAAATGTTTGCACCAAATTAGTTATGTTTATCAGTCATCTTCCATGGATTTCTGAAACTCCTCCCGCCTGCATGCAACGTACACAAACGTACGTGAAACGTGAACGCCGCATCCAACGTCATTTCCACCTGTCCCATTCAATCAGTTTATCAAGTTAGCAGTTAGCTTCGTGTTAAAACTAGTGGTGAAATGTGGCGGTTTTTAACTGGAGTCAGCCAGCCTTCCAAAAGAAAATTCGTCGAACTGGAAGAAAAACCACCAGGACCAGTGGCGAAGAATTTGTGAAAAGTGGTGAACTGGAGATGGCGGAGTCGTGAGACACTGGCTACATTATGATGGCCACGTAGCGTTGCTGCCTTTCACATACACTTTTTCTGCTCGTGCTGCAAACGGGATAGCCGTCTTCTATCAACTGTCCCTCGGAATTCTTCAAATATCCAAAAATGTCCATACTTCCTTCTTTGAGGGATAATAAATGTCCCGAGTGCTAAAGTGCGCATGTGCCGCCGGCAACTTCAGCAGATGATACAGTGGTTGATGAGGGTCACCACACCTACACCGCAGCCACGGTAATCCACCGAGATAATACTTTTTTATTTAAACAAGACTGTAATTATTATTGTCAACTTTTTTTTACCGGGGTTTACTGCTACACCGGTTACCGTGACAACCCTAGCCCTGACACTTTCAGATATTCTCATGGTGCAGCTGTGTTCTCCAGAGATCAAGGACTATGACCCAAATGAGGCTGTAATGCTTTGGCACAAAGACGGTGTCAGAAGCAGGAGGCCAGACTTCATGGACAGAGAAAACATGGAGTCTGACTAAATTTCAATGAAAGAGTTCATAAAAACATCTCTAAAAATAAACAAATAGTAAAAATGACAAAAGAGTTGTTTTTCTTATTAATTGATGTTTTAATTATTTTGTCACTCTGGAATCAACATAATATAGAATAACATGCTTTAGGTTGATCTAAATCATTTAGAATTTTGGCCGGTAAAAGATATGCTTGGCCGGTAGATTTTCATCATCTGCCAGCCAACTTGGCCGGTGAGTAAAAAATTTAATTTCGGACCCATCAGATTTTAACCATAGGCCCTATCAAATAAAAATGCTTTAAGCCTAGTCTTAAAAGTAGACAAGGTGTCTGCCTCACGGACTAAAGCTGGGAGCTGGTTCCACAGGAGAGGAGCCTGATCACTAAAAGATCTGCCTCCCATCCTAATTTTAGATATTCTGGGAACCACCAGTAAACCTGCAGTCTGAGCGCGACGTGCTCGGTTAGGAACGTATGGAACAATCACGTCACTGATGTATGATGGAGCTTGATTATCAAGAGCTTTATAATTGAGAAGAAGGATCTTAAAATCTATTCTGAATTTAACAGGTAGCCAATGTAGGGACGCTAAGACAGAGATATGATCTCTCTTTTTAATTCTCATCAGAACTCTAGCTGCAGCATTTTGGACAAGCTGAAGACTTTTAACTACATTCTGTGGACTTCCTGAGAGTAATGAATTACAGTAATCCAGTCTTGATGTAATAAATACATGAACTAGTTTTTCAGCATCACTCCTGGAAAGGTTGCTTCTAATCTTAGCAATATTCCGAAGGTGGAAAAAGGAAATCCTGCAAACCTGTTTAACCTGGGATTTTTCGGAACTGCGCTGCTCTGAGTGGCTGCTCTGAGTGGCTGCATGTTGGAGTAGCTCTGTAGACTATATGTAAGTTTTGCCTTTTCTTGGACATTTTTTCTTTAGTTTCTCAAGAAAAACGGTATTCTTTTGGACATTTTACTTTTCTGTTTCTGATGCTGTGAAGCTTGGAGGATTTTTACTGCTCATTTTTCACTTTTTGAGCATTTGTTATGATGCGTAACCATGGCAACAAGCTGGTTTACAATCGGGAGCAGCTGCTTAACATTGGGAAGGCTGAAATAATACCTCAACTGAAGCCACAAATCCCAAATGAGCTAAAACGCAAGAAGCGTGGGTCCAGAGCGGGAGCAAAATGGAGACAGAGAAAGAGGAAATTCAAACCATCTCTGCCATCGATCATAATGGGCAATGTGAGATCACTGGCCAACAAGATGGATGAACTCCAAGCCCTTTCAAGGACTCAGCCAGAGTATCGGCAGTGCAGTGTTATGTGTTTCAGTGAAACGTGGCTGCAGGACCATATCCCCGATTCCAGCGTCTCTCTGCCAGGATTTCTGACTGTACGAGCAGACAGAGATCTGAAGAGGAGCGGGAAAAGAAAAGGAGGTGGAGTGGCAGTGCTTGTCAACAACAGATGGTGCCATCCAGGTCATGTTTCAGTGAAATGTCGTCTCTGCAGCCCAGATGTTGAACTCTTGGTAGTAAGTTGTCGCCCATATTATTTGCCAAGAGAGTTCACCAGTGTTGTTTTGGCAACCGTTTATATTCCACCTTCAGCCATTGCTGAAAATGCATGTGATGCCATCAGTTCCGTTGTCGCTAAGCTACAAACCCAGCACCCCAATGCATTTGTGGCTATATCTGGTGATTTTAATCATGCCTCACTCTCTGCTACACTTCCAACATTTCAACAGTTTGTCAGCTGCTCCACCAGAGAAAACAAGACATTGGATCTGTGTTATGCAAATGTAAAGAATGCATACATGTCCAAAACAAGACCTCCTCTGGGACAATCCGATCACAATCTTGTTTTTCTCTGCTCGGAATACAAACCACTTGTTCAGAGGCAACCTGTGACAAGAAGAACTGTGAGAAAATGGTCACAGGACGCTGAAGAAGCCCTGCAGAGTTGTTTTGAGACCACAGATTGGATGACTCTCTGCCACGGACATGAAGAGGACATCAATGCCATGACTGGATGTGTCACTGATTATATAAACTTCTGTGTGGATAATATAATACCCACCAGAACAGTGAGATGCTTCGCTAATAACAAACCCTGGATCACCAGTGAACTGAAGAATCTGCTAAATGAGAAAAAAAGAGCCTTCAAGGAGGGAGACAGGGAATTAATGAGGAGTATACAGAAGCAACTGAAGACCAAGATCAGAGAAAGCAAGGAGGCATACAGGAAGAAGCTGGAGAACAACCTACAGAGGAACAATATCAGAGATGTCTGGTCAGGGATGAAGAAGATCACAGGCTTCAAGCAGAGGAAGGATTGCACAGATGGCAGCCTGGATACAGCCAATGAACTGAACAAGTTCTTCAATAGGTTCAGTTCAGGAACAAACCCGGCATCCTTCTCGCCTGTCCCCAGCCAATCAGACATCCCATCCTCCTCTGATCCAACATTTTCCTGTCACACGCCAGCTCTTTTGTCCTCTAACGCAGTCATGGACTCTTCTGGTTCTATAAATCCATCTTCAACCAAGTCAGGAGATGCTGCTGCCCCATTTACCTCCCCGTCCTACCTATCTGTCTCTAGAAGTCAGGTGAAGAGGCAGCTGGAGAGACTGAACAGGAACAAGGCTGCAGGTCCGGATGGTGTCAGCCCCAGAGTACTGAAGGCTTGTGCAGAGCAGCTCTGTGGGATTCTGCAGCACCTCTTCAACCTCAGCCTGGCCCAGGAGAAGGTTCCAGTCCTGTGGAAGACATCCTGCCTTGTTCCAGTTCCAAAGAAAACTCGCCCATCAGTCAATGATGACTACAGACCGGTTGCCCTGACATCCCACATCATGAAGGTCCTGGAGAGACTCCTGTTGGTCCACCTGAATAAGCAAACTAGGACATATCAGGACCCGCTGCAGTTTGCTTATCGCCATGGAGTTGGAGTTGAAGATGCCATCATCCAGCTGCTTCAACCAACCCACTGTCACCTGGACAAAGCAGGCAGCACTGTGAGGGTCATGTTCTTTGATTTCTCCAGTGCATTTAACACAATCCAGCCTGATGTACTTTGCCAGAAAC